ATGTTCAGTCACGGGATATTCAACTCTTGTTTAATTAAACTTAATTAAAATGCAATTCTCCATTGTATTGCATTGTAATTGAGTTTAATTAAACTCCAATTAAAACGCAACCCTATATAGGAACGCGTTTTAATCGAGTTCATATCGCAACTATATTAAAAGTTAATTTAACTATATTAAAAGTTTATTCAACTATATTAAAAGTTAATCCAATGAAGTCCCCTTATTATTATTATGATTATTATTATTATATAATTATTATTAATTTCTCAATCAAGTATACAACCTAAAGTATTTTCGAATCAAGTTGGAGTCTATAGTATGTATCAAAACATGCCGATGAAAGAAATACTAACTAGTTGAATACGTATTCACGTATTCACAATGGCGGCATACTACGTGTGGTTCTTATCAATGTCAGATATGGTTACATTACGGTCAGAACTATATCGTCATGTGTAGAATGTGTACGATTGATATGCGAGTGAATGACGCATGACTGATTTGTGTACAACTGAAATTTACACTTTGCTATAGTAACAAGCCGAGTTATAGAGAATGCTTTTTCTAAACGTGTGATTGATGAACCTGTGATTATATAAATATTACATTACTTACGTATATATGGTGTTGAGTCTGAGGTAGGTGGTAGATATTGACTCGCTAGAGACAGGAAAACAAACAATGACAGCATACTAGTGACAAACAGAGTCATTCTCTCGCCACATTCTGTTGGCAAGTAGAAACCAACTAGAATCAAAATGAACATCAGCATGACTGGCATAAGCAGCGTATATATGTAAAACAGGGACCTTCGTCGTATGACAAATGTGTACGTAATATCAGGGTAAGGTTCTGGGCAGCATGCATAGTACAGCACGTGCTTTATGATTGGCAGTCCTATGAGGCTCCATTCACCATTTGGTATGTAGTTACTCAGCGACCCAGAAGATGGGTTAATTTCCAAGTCTATCAATGAACCATCGTAACTCCATGATCCAAATTTCAGGATGCACTTCTGCTCATCAAAGGGAAAATATGTGGCGTCTATCCGACAGGATGCTTTGAAAACCATAGGTTGCAGAGCAAGCACACTTCCATCGGAGCTGACTTGAGCATCTGTTGATAAGTGTCTTTCGAATTCTTTGTCAACACTGGAATGAACAAGTGAAAACTGAATAACAGTCACGACCAGTTACTTTCTTCCATACTGGTTTACGTAACTGATGGAGTACTATTCGATATGTCTATGAACTGTTTATGTTACAGCATGTCCTTGATGCAGATGTGACTAACTATCTATAGATGTGAGAAGCTGATAGCTTTAACTCAAATAAATCCTCATAAATAAATTAATACAATTCACTGATTAATTCACGTTACTGAATAAAAATCCGAGAATGACGTTTGAAACCTGTCACACGGAGACACATACGTGAGCAATTATTTTTGTTGGTGACCTTGTGAAATACAGCGCAATGAAAAATCGTGGCGTGCCGCCTGTTTGGATGGTGGTCGAGGTGTGGCAATCATTAGTCGAACATAACTTTGAAAATTGACTGTAGAAGACGTTATTTCCGGGATCGATTGAACATGGGGATCAATCAGTGACTGTAGCTTACAGATAGCAGGGCTTATATTGTCCAATGGGCAACCAGCGATTTTAATACATTGTTTTGTGGATGTTTACCGAAAATTGTGATTGCTTGTTTGAAGATAGCTGTGTGTGTGGAATGTTTCATGTTTATTAACATATTTTGATATGGATGGCTTTCGTTAAATTTGACGTCACAGTATAGAATAGTCTCTAGTTTGTAATACATGTATAGCCACCCACCTTCCATATAAGGTGATATCCGGTTGCCATATATCATTACTTGAGACGCTGACACTAGCAACTCCTGCATAGTCTGATTCATTCCAGCGCAGTAATTCGTCAGTCCACCTCTGAAATTAAATTGCTCAATAAAAACGTTCCTCAGTCGTGATTGGCAGCACCACAAGGTAATGTAAACGCATAACAAAAAGAAATGGTTACGTGATGAATGGAAATCGGTAAAGAACATCACACTTATAAAAACATCTATAATATTATGAATTTTATTATTATGGTTATTAATTCATACTTATCCTACTTCTGATTATAGTTTAATCTGTCAACCTACATGCCTCATGCGAGGGCCTAAGAAACACACCTATTCCTACATCTGGATTAACAATGACCCATCGAATCATAAGGTCGTCGTGATTGTAGAGTGCGAGACATACACAAGAGTGTTTCATACACAAATTGTGCTCTATTTACTCCCTCCATCACGCATACTGTCCAAAATACAGCGTTGATATAAGTCACACAGAATCACAAGTAATGCATAAGAAGGTCAAATATTTACAATTGTTATCAGAGTCGACTTTCCATGTTAACAATAGATTTAAGGTATGTGTTGTATTCCTATGTACATAACATTGAATAAGAACTCACCAGGCCTATCCAAACTTTTAGTGTGAACAGCTGGTTTTGTTCATCCTAAAAATGCAATACAACAAATTGTTAATAAAATGAAGAATTCTACTCAATTGAACAGTCATTGACAAACATGTGATTTAATCATCTTCAGTTTAATTATAAAAAATGTAGTATATATATATATATATATATATATATATATATATATATATATATATATATATATATATATATATATATATTAACATTTTCTGTTGCAGCCATCAATGCATTTTAACATTATTATTTTCACATTAGAAAATAATGGAATAGTTATTTCCAAGTAGACAAATTCATCCAACTAGAAATAACGTATTCATGATGTATCATTAATGACGAATACCACTTTGTGTGTGGGCGTTCGTAAAACTTTTGTAATAACTGGATGTGTAAATGATACCCATTTACGTAACATAATTGCCCTGTCATAAAAACATTGTATTGTAAAAACTAAGAGAAATTGCTTACAATATCGAGAATCTGTATAGGAGTAATTCGATGAGTTACAAGTGTAGGTATAGAGGAGTTCAAGGCAGGTCGTGTTGACGTTGAGTAGTTTTCAAGAAGCTTCCTTACGAGAGTTGCCTGAATTTCAGCATCTGAAGCATATCCTAAAACACAGAAGCAACTAATTTGTAATTCGGTAAAAATAACGTAACTATACACCACACATTATAATTCGTTTAGATGTTAAAAACACTGTATAACAAAATTTCAATCAGTAGTAGATAATCAGTAGATATTTTTCGAATTTGAGATTTTGTGCAAAGTTTTCTTTACTAAACTACTAAATGAGTATTATTATAAGTGCTTTAAGTGAGTAAAAATCGTGCATGTAGTATATGTTACTAACGTACAATGCTACTTCACTGTATATATTCAAAACTGAAACACCAATTATTGGCAGACCATTAGTGATGATATGGTGAATGCCGAATTTGTGCCATCATAATATTTAAGTGGTACATTCCTGAACTGTAAGCTGATGTAAATCACTGCAATTTTAGCAGCACTATGTAGTTTACTAACCAATATTCTGAGTTGCTTGGTAGCATTTATAGATAGATGGCTGGCTGACTTAAACGACTCTCTATTATAAAATAATTCAGTATATCTCGCAAAATAGACCAAACCCATTGATTTCTATTCTCTCTATAGAAAATATTGATAGGCTAGTTATTGTTTTGAAAATATTCGACCATTTTGTTATATGATTCATTCCCTCATTGGTCTAGTTCCTAACCGAATGACAAACTCATATGCTATTGTGTAGTGCTTCAAGTGAGTAAGGCTTCTTCATGTAAGCTGTTTGATTTCACAAGCTTCAAATGAGTTCCATCTTTAAATAGCAGTTATATTTCGGTGGCACAGTTTAACTTAAATATTGATGACAAATCATCCCACCACGGCCTGACACTCGTTTGCCTTATCTATTAAATATTATTAAAACAATGGTCCAACTAAAGTCAAGCTACATCTACCACCCACTTGCTTTACTCTGGCTTGTGCAAACCAATATACCCACAGTGGGTTTCAGAGAAATTCAACGCACCCACGCTCGCACATTCACTAGAAATGCATATGCATACGCTATCAGATTACTGAGCAAATAGAAAACACCAACTTACTATAACATATCTAAAATGTTATTTAGCAATTATATTATGTAGCTTATTCTCAAACCCTGCTATTAGTGCATATTGGTGTCTGTTGCTAGTTACTAGTACTGTAACTACAATTATGGCAGTCAATCCCATACTGAGAAACATCTAAACCATCTGGACACGTGAGCTCGAAAGACATCATCCTTGATGTAGGCGTTTGCTCATCAGACAACATATTATGCAAAAATATATGTCCGTCTTTACTATGAAATGTTAACCGACCTGGTAATGTCTGAAATACTTTTTAGTATACTAGAATTATTTGTTGGGTCACATTATTATCAGTTTAGTGTAGTCAATGTCCCTATAAGGAGTAAACGCTATCGTTTCCATATTGCAGTTGAGCCAAACCCGCTGTAACACTGTTGCTTTATAAGATAATGAATGATCTTTGAAACTACGTCTCAGAAGTTGTATGAGTCTCATAGTCCTGGAGATATAGTCCGTTGAACGGCGCTTGTCAACATGCTGACATCGCTGAACAAATCTTGTCAAAATAGCGTCGTTCAGGTTAACGTGGTCATCGTAAAACCTGTGATATTTCTGATTCTTGGTGGCTCATAACAATTCAACTATAGAAAAACTTATCACTTTATTCGATACGCCAGTATAAAACAATACTTCAAGTTTTGTATATAAATACACTGAATAGCATACATTGCCATTTGAAAACGTCGCCATTTGCATTTACGATAGAAAAGAGCATCTATAAAAATCCGCCAATTTAACATTAATAAAGTAAAGTGTGACAAATAACAAATCAGCCCCCCCCAATTTTTAATAGTATATTTGATCATAAAATGTCAAAATCGAAGACAAATATATGTTTTCGCGCCGCAAAGAAGGGTAAATAAAATAAAGTTCTTTTTAATTACTCCCAAAGTCAAACACGACAAATTCCTCGGTAAAGGTATGAAAATTTGTTGCGAAAATGTTTCGCTGCTAGTTAAATAGATAAAACAAAAAAACTACTCGCCAGCTAAAATATGACTTATACAGATATCCTGATTAAAAAAATATGTGAAAAAGCTCGAATTCTGGAAAAAACAACTAAGTTGTAAAACACACACATAGCAATGACGATGTCAAAAATAGTGATCGTGTGCGTACTAATCACGTGGCAATGCTTTGCGCATATCCGCAACGCGCCTTTGCCAGGGAAAGACGCCAATTCACACCTAATACAATGACAGTTTTCAGACCGAGGATACATGGACTGTGGTTGTTTTTTTTAAAAACAGAACTTAGCAGTTTCATCGAATGTGAACAAGATGTCGTACCGCGCATTTAATTTATTCAAGTTCCTTTGTTATGTTGAACAGCGTCAACATTACAATCGACTCTCTAAACACAGGGCGGGACATAGACTGGCAAAGTCGGGACTTCTTTTTTCTTTTAAAAAAAGATAATTAATTGTTCTTTCAGTCCTTTCAGCGTGATCGCGAAAACTAACCTAACCGCTAAGGAAATCCCGACTGGACGCATCTGCGGGCATTTGACTGATATTGATTATTCATGATGTCATTGATTATTCATGAGTGGTTTGTGAAAGTAAACATGTCCTTTTAAAGGTTGAGTCGATTCGATCGCAAAGATGGATACTTTAACTTTTTCCTCCCGATGGAAAACAAAATGTAGCCTTGGCCATGCTCATAGAAAACCACGAGCGGAATAGCTTTAAAGACCCTTTCCAATGCACAAACTGCGATCACCAACTTACGGTTGACATCAAAAGAATGCCCATTTTTTGACGCCGGAAAAATGCCAGTCACGGGGTTGCATTTTTGATTCATGCACTTATTGTAAAGATGACTCCCCGGGCGTGGCTGATGTTCGTGTTTTCATCCAAAACAAATCCCTTCTTTACAGTAACGACACATCAATATACCACTGCCAATGTTATTTACAGACATAATTCTGCTATAAACCAGCGTCTGTATCTAGAATTTCCATCTCGTTGTACTGAACTATCGGTGTCACCGTGACAATCACTCAGGATGGTTTTGTGCAGAACTTGTGTTGCCCGTCATCAAACCACTCTGCGGGCTGACTATAATATGAGCCCAGGCCACTTTCATTTAGATGTCGTTTAACGGCGTCGAACATTTTTTTCATTTTAGAACTCCTTCTCATGACATATTATGTTATTAAAAACACAGAGAAAAGCTTAAAATACTATAGCGTAATATCTATCTGTTCTTCGATCGCCTAAAATACACTATTTACAGATTACACAGGATATAATAAAGCTGGAAGGTCAACAAATCAGTATCCAAATTAAATCTTTTGACTTCAGTCTGTCACTCAACATGATATGTAAATGAATGGAGGACATGTTTACTCACATCTAGATTTGGACCAAATATAAAGAAAGTACACAGTGAAATGTTTCATAATCCTGATTTTTTTGAAACATGTTTTTTTTCTTGTTTTTCCCCTCTCGCTACCGTAATCTTCCTTTAGCAA